GTGATGACGGCGGCAGCGGATGACGCATTAATCGCGCGACACAACTAATCGATGATGAAATTCGATTTTTATCGATTTTATCGATTCGTTGTTGCAGCCCTAACTAAGTTATCACACCGCTATATTTATATGAATGCTAACAACAACAAAAAATTAAACTAACACTTTATAAAAACAAACATTTCATGGTTTACTTTTTGTACATCTGTTGCCCTTCTGAGGCTTTGTGAAGGTAAATCTAGGTTTTCCATGGTCCTATATTGTGTCACAAACCTAAAAAAAATAATGGACCAGTTTAATAATGGAGAAGCTATTAGTCAGCTTTATGTTTTTTTTAATATATAAAAACGATTTATTTTCCGAGAATGTGTTTATTTCAGAACAACTATACAAATGAACAAAGAAAACGTAGACTATATTCTTTTATTTTCCATGTTCAATTTATTTATTTATTTATTTTCAAATTTTCTTTCTCTAAATATTTTCATTTTTCTTCCTTTTTTTCTTCTCTTTTATAACATTTTGAATTATAATTTTATCTGGTCTTTTAAAAAGTATTTTAAACTTTACTTTTGGATGACTTAGGGATATTTTTTAAAGGGATAAGGTCTCATATGTCTTTGTAAATTGTAAACACCCGTAGCTTTCTCTTTTTCCAAAACTCTAGCACATCCTACTCTATTCTTTTTATTTATTTATTAGTACATAAAGCCCTTCTTTGTATATTTACAAAACCATAAAAAATAATTTTATAGTTTTTAAACCATAAAATGTAAAGCCCAAGCGCACTGCTCTAACCCTCACTGTTCTACTGAGTTTCACATATGAGAAGCTTGTTTTTTGACCTAAGCTGTTTTCTTATCTTTGAGACGGTAGTTATTACTTTTAAACTTTATTAAGGCAGCAATAGACTTTGAGCCAAGACTGGAATTTGTTCGTTGTTTGGCTGAAACAAACGGAAATGTAGCTTTATATTTCTCTTTGTAGGTGACGTTTCATGTCGTGGGATGTTCATTACCTCAGTAAAACGATGAATAACTCCCGATTTGTTTTGTTTAACTCCGCCGCTTCGTGGTCTCAACTGAATAAAGGCGTCTACTGAAAAAAA